TCAGGATTAAGGTATTGCTCATACACTGGTCCTCACTAGGAACAGGGAAGTAAGGAAGAGGAATACACTAGGAGTTCTGTTTTGGACATGTTGAGCTTGAGATGCCTACTGCCATAAATAGTGGGAAATAGCTAACAGGAAGTCAGTGATGCAAGACCAGATTTTGGACAGAGACTAGGACTTGATATGTTGAACTGAGTTCATTATAGGGATTATATTTAAACCCATGGGAACTGATGAAAGGAAATACATACACACATACATACATACATATAGATATAGATATAGATATAGATACACACACGTATATGTGTATCTATACACACAGAGACTTATATGTGCATATGTGTATATATACATTATATATATATATAGGGGTTTTTTTAGAGTGAGAGAATATAGAATAGATATACAGTTCCCTTCCACATCAAGACTTTCCCCATCCAGGTTTTGCTATATCGTGGGTCAGCATAAGAAATATATAGTGTTGTATAATATCAACCCAATTTTATAATAAGGAACTGTAAACACCCCAAAAGAGAAAGAAAAAATTCAGACTTCTTCTCTGGTATGAAGAGAGGACCAACATTTTTTACATGGATTTTCTAGTTTGCGGGGGCACTGTGCTCCTACCCCCCATGATGTGGAAGGGATAACTGTACATAGAGCATTTCTTAAGTACTTACTATGTCAGGCACTGAACGAAAAAATGGGAATAAAAATTCAGACAAAAAGAAAGACAATGCAGAAAGATCAGAACCGTTCTAGGAGAATGAAGGCAGGCTGACCTGGGCCTTCCACAAAATGGAGTCTCTAGGAGGAACTCCCCAATGCAAGAAGGTGAGCAGGCCTTGTGGAGATCTGTTCCAGAGGGACCAGGCAGCAGGGGTGGTAGGCTGTTTCAGGGTGAGATGATGTCAGGCTTTGAGGGATCTACTTGTATAAAGATGACTAAATATAGAATTGGTCTAGATCTTATTGATTCCCTCAAATAATTACAGTGAAATATTTATTAGATTTAATTCAAGAAATACTTTTACACTATATGCAGTACTCCACACCCAATATTCCCTACCTCTGCAAGGAGATAATGAAGTATGTATAACATAAGACTTGTTTATATATCAGTTAGTTTTGAGAGCCCTTTCTTTATCTTTTTTTATCCTTTAAGTGTGATAGCTGTCTGGGAGGTGGGGGAGGAAAGATTATAGTGGGAAATTTATGTGCTCTTAAAAGATTATCAATAAAATTGTTATAAAAAAAGAGGGAAACATTTCATCTGTTATTGTTCAGTCATTCAGTTGTGTCCAACTCTGTGTGACCCCATAGACTTCTGTGCATGGGGGTTTTCTTGACAAAAATACTAGAGTGGTTTGTCATTTCCTTCTCCAGTGTGTCTCTATTTTACCGATGAGGAACCGAGGCAAATAGAGGTTAAATGACTTGCCACTTGGGTCACGCAGCTAGTGAGTGTCTGAGGCTCTATTTGTACTCAGATCTTCCTGACTCAGGCCCCATGCTCTATCCACTGCACCCTTCTCTGTGCTAAAAGTTTTGAAGAGTACTAAAATATACAGTTGTTACATTGGTAGAAGAATTTTTCTTGAACCATTTTAATAAGTTTCTCACATAAATATGCTCATTAGCAATGATCAATAATAGGCTAAAAATCTCTTTTCTATGTTCAGCATATATCTATCATGACAAATAGCCAAGAAGTTGCCTAGAAATATTATTGAAAGTATGTGGTTTTTTCCAGATATTTTTCCTAGGTTAGCATTTCTGGATAATTAGAGGTTTAATACAAGCACAATGAAAAACTTATAAATATTAACTTTTATGTATCAAACTGGCTATTTAAATATATATGTTTGTTTTAATCAGGCAAGATCCACCTTCTCACCTACCCCTCCCACTTCCCCCACCTCCATTTGAGAACATAAGAAAAATAAAACCCATTACAAACATGTGTACTCAATCAAAACAAATTTCCACATTGGTGATGTCCAAAAAATATTTTGTCTTGTTCTGCATTCTGAATCCTTCACCTCTCTATCCAGAGGTAAATGTTTCATCATTAGTCCTTTGGAATCATGGTTGGACATTATGCTAATAAGAGTTCAGTACAATAGTATTCCAAAACATCATTGCCATAACTTGTTCAGCCATTCCCCAATTTATGGACACTCCTTCGGATTCCCTTCCTAGCCCTCTGTCCACTGTGCCATTTAGCTGCCTCAAAATTAGATATTGCTTTAAGGTTTGATAAGCACTTTACAAATGATATCTTTTTGTTTTCATCTAACTAAGTTTTGAAATGGACCCCTGCCTGGAGTCATGGAGAAATATTTTGAGTCTGGCTGTGGGTTCCTGGGATGTGGTCCTGGAGAGAAAGTGGCTTTCTTCTCACCTGGGGCTGAGCCTGGTATGGCTGCAGTAGTATAAGTGGTGAGATGGAGTTCTACAATATAGAGGGGTTTTTTTTTTATTTGTTTGTTTTTCATTTGTTTTTCTTAACTGAGCACTGCAGCAGAAGCATGAAAGAGTAGTTGAATGGAGAAGCTAGGGAGAGCCACACAATAAGGATGGGTGGAAAGGCTAGAGGGGACTTTCAATTAGTGAGTTTCTGGGCTAGAGTGAGACTTCAGGATGGAGAGCTGTTAGTCCATTTTCTCTGGTGTTCCATACCCAATAACGATAATGTATCTTGAATGCCTCTCTGCAGCCTTTGACATTGTCGATTACCATCTCCTTCTAGATAACTCTCCTCTCTAGGTTTTCGTGACATTACTCTTCCCAGTTCTCCTCTTAACAGTTTGGCTACTCCTCAATCTCCTTTGATGATTCAATGATCCCATAACTAGTAAGTAACTGAGACAGGCTTCTTGAACTACTATACTACCGAAGATCTCTGTCAGTCATGCCTCTTACAGGTGTTGCCAAAGAGATCCAGATACCTGTTGCTTTGGGGCAGAAATATCCCACTGTCCCCTTCCTCAACTCCCCATGGAGTTTTAATTTAACCTTTGAACTAGTACTTTGACAAGCTCACCTTGCTCCATCTTTTGGCTTTGTTGCAAGCTGAGAAGTCAGATGGAAGCTGCTGAGGTATTGAAGTGTCTGAAAGTGAGAGAGGGAATATAGCCATAAGGTCATCGGAAAAGATTGTGGAGCTGAGGTATTGTGGAATGTTGTGCTGCTGAATTCCATTTGGATTTCAGGTGAAAGGTGATGATTCCTTAGTCCCTTCCCCCCTTTCCCTCCCTCTCTTTAGAAAGGACATGAGTCTAATGTTTCCTCAGGATCCAGCTAGACTTATCTTTGTTTCCTGAAAGTCTGTTAATTCATTTACTCTTTAAACATTTACTTTATCTCTTAAACTGCGAAAATATGGAAAAGTTGTTAACCACCCACATTGCTAAATGGTGTGCAGCAGAGAGAGGTAATTGGAAACTTGGGAGGGGAGATGGAGAGATTAAAAAGCAAAATATTTTGCTAGAATATGGGGGTCTCAAAGGCAGAGAAGACAGTACTTGATTCATTTTTACATCTTTCCAGGAAAAAGAGAATACATTTACTGGTGTTTCACTAGGCAAATGAGTGTAACAGTAGCTGGTTCAGTTTCTACTTGGGTTTGCAAAGACAAGAAATGAAACAAATCCCTGCTTGCAAAGAACTTATATTCTGTGGGTGGAATACAAGTGTGCAAGGTAAATAAACTTAATGTACAGTAATGCAAAGTCCTATTGAGGAAAAGAGGGCTAAAAATTCAGGGGATCAAGAGATGCTTCATGTAGAAGTTGTCAACTGAGCTATGCTTTTAAGGAAGCTAGAGACTCTAGGAGAGGGAGAGAAGGAGTATATTCTAGATACAGGGGACTATTTGTGCAAGGACTAAGTATAAGGAGCATCATATTACAGAGCTGATAAGTACATCCTCAGCCAGTTTTCAAGGTCCTGTTTGCTGCAGTTCATCAATTGCAGATTGAGCGGTTGATGCCCTTGGAGGGCTTCAGCTCAAAATCCATCTTCTCCAGGAAGACTTCCCTGGTCTCCTAGCTGCTACTGCCAGCCCCTCTAAGGTCGTCTTTCATCTATTCTGTATTAATTTTATATGTACTTATTTATGTTGTCTCCCTAGAATGTAAGCTCTTTGAGGGCAGACACTGCTTTTGCTTTTTATTTATATCCTCAGCACTTAGCACAATGTGTAACATAGAATGAGCCCTCAGTACATTCTTGTTGAGAAATGACCACTAGGATTCCAGAGGACTGACCCCTAATGAAACATGTTACCAGTAATCTCCTGACAAGAGAAGATTCAGGGTGCGGATTGAAAGATATTTTTTGAACATGGCCAATGTATGAATTTGTTTCGCTTTACTATGCATGTTTGTTACAAAGGTTTTTATTTTCTTTCTTTTTTTGACTGGGAAGGTGAGTTTTCATAAGCTGAAAAAAAAAAGCAACCCTGCTTGTTAATCAAAAACCCGATTGATTAGAGGCTGGGTTTGGAGGTAGGCTTAAACTCAAATTTCGGTTTTGCTCTTTATTCCCTCTGTGATTTTGACTACTTAAACTCCCTAGGCCTTAGTTTTCTCATCTGTACAATGGCAGTATTCTATAGGACGGGCCACTTTTAGTCCTTCCAGGTCCAAATCTATGGTCCTATGACTACGGTAACCTTTGGGGTTGATGTGAGCGAAGCAGGAAACAGAAGAGGACCTGGGATGGGGAGCCCCGTCCACCCTTCGGGTCGGACTGCCTCTCCAATGCAAGAAAGAACGGGAAAGGGAAGTAACTGGCGGCCCAAGAACGTCCACGCCGGGAGGGCAAAGGAAGGAAGAGGGAACGCCTCCTGCCCCCGCCTCCCACGTGGTTGGGTCCAGTTCCAGGAAAAGCCCCGCCCCATCTTGTCCCGCCCCCTCCGGACCCGCTCTCCTCCACGCCCCTTCCGGTCTCCAAGGTTTGATTCTATTGGCGGGCGGAAGAGAGGCGGGGAGCCGGGAAGTTTGAACGCTCGTCGGGGAGGTGCGGCTACATGCGCCTCCGCTGTTCGCTTCGCTTCGTTTCGCGTCCCCTAGGCCCGTTCAACGGTTCGGCCTGTTCGCTTCGGCCTGCCCGCCGCTCCGTGCACTCCCCGTCTTCCTCGTCGCGGGTGAGTGGCCTCCCGGGGTCGGGAGGCTGGGCGCGGAGCCCTGGGAGACGTCCTGGCGCGGCGCGGCGGGACGGAGGAGACTGGGCGCCGAGCGGCAACTCCCACCTGCGGGTCGCGGGCAGAGCCGGCTCCGGGGCGTCGGGGTCACCCGGACCCGCCGCGCCGCCTCTCCGGGCTGGGGCGGACAGGGGTCCTTGGGGGCATCCCAGGAGGTCCGCGAACCTGGGTGGGGAAGAATACATTAAAAAAGTTTTTTTTCCTCACTAATCCTTAAGTGAAAATTACCATTTTCCGTATGACTGTGGGCAACGAGGCGTTATTCTGAGAAGGGGTGTGTGAGCAGCAGCGCATTCTGAGAGGGGGTCCCCAGGCTTGGCCAGATGGCCAGAGGAATCCGGGACGCAGGCACACGAAATAATGATTGCTAGCATTTATGTACGGCTCTACGGTTAGCAAAACACTTTTTGTTATCTGATGTAATAATAATAATGATAGCTAACATTTCTAGAGGGCTTAATGGTTTGCAAAGAGCTTTACGTATTGTCTGATTCAATAATTATAGCTAGCATTTATATATTTTATGGCATATACGTATAACATATAATTTAAGGTTTGTAGAGTGCTTTAACATGTTATCTGGCTTAATAGCTGACATTTATAGAAGGCTTTAAGGTTTTCAAAGCGCTTTACGTGTCTGATTTAATAATTAAATTTATAGCTCTTTAAGGTTTGCAGAGGGCTTTAACATATATTCTCTGGTTTAATAATAATTGCTAGCATTTCTAGAGGGCTTTAAGATTTGCAAAGCGCTTTGCATTCTGATTTACTAATAGCTAGCAATTACATAGCTGCATTGTGATTTAATAATAATAAGCTAGCAATTATGCAGTTGCTTAATTCTTTTTTTTTTTGAGGCAGTGGAAATTAAATGATTTGCCCAGAGTCACACAGTTATTATTACACCTCTGAGGTCATATTTGAACTCGGAGTCCTCCTGATTCCAGCACTGGTGCTCTATCCACTGTGTCAGCTAGCTCCCCCTAATTGCTTGAATTTTGCAAATCTCTTTTACATGTTTAATTTAATAATAATACCTAGCATTTATATGTTTTATAGAGAGCATTTAAGTGCTTTCCAAATATTATCCTGTTTTATCCTCACAACAACTGGGGAAGTAGATAGAGCATGTGATATTAATCATCCTCATTTTATGTGTGATGAAATGGAGGCTGAGAGACATTCAGTGACTTGTCCCAGGTTGTACAGCTAAGTCTGTCTGAAGCAGAATTTGAACTCAGGTTTTTCTGACATAGGCCTGCATGTTCTGAGCTACTTAGCTAGTAGTAATAATAATAAAAAAAAGTACTAATAGCAATAGTTAACATTTATGTAGTGCTTACTATATGCCAGGTACTGGGAAGCACTTTACAGTTATTTTATTAGATTCTTACAACAGTCCTGAGAGGTAAGTGCTATTATTATCCCCATTTTATGAGGCAGACAGAGATTAAGTGACTTGCCTTCGGTCACATAGCAAGGAAGTGTCCGAGGCTGGATTTTAACTCAAGCTTTCCTGATTCCAGGCCTAACCAAGAAGAAAGGCAAGAAGACTTGCAGAGCAACCTTTAATGTGATAGCTGAAAGGGAAACAGTCCTATAAGAAAGGAGGCTGGGTTCTAGGCCCCATTTTGCCCCTCAAATTCATGTATCGTTAGAAGTTGTCTAGTGGACATTCAGCCTCGTTTTGAACATGTTCGGGGAAACAGTTGTGAATAAGGGAATTTAGGTGATCTCCAAGGGTCCTTCTAGCTCTGAATCCTATGACAAAAGTGTTTGTTAGGAAACTCTTCTTTTACAAATCTCCCTCCTTTGTACTCATCACTCCTACTTCTGCCTTTTGGAGCAACGAGGAATAGATGTTTTTCCTTCCATGTAAAGACTTTGCAGTTATTTGAAGTCCCATGATTGTGTTTCTGGTTAGTCTTTTTGTCTAGGCTAACTAGTCTTTGTTCCTCATGTGATCTAGTTTTTATGCCCATGACCCCTATTGTCATGGTCCTCTGGATATGCTTTTAGCTTCTTAAAATGTGACTGGAACACAGTACTTGAAGTCTGACATAGTATAGTGGAGTCCTTACCTCTTTTGTTCTGGATACTATACTGTATTTAAAGGACTTCTAAGATTGCATTTGCTGTTTTTGATAGGCACATCACCTTGTTTCAGTGTTTTTTTGAGCTTGTACTCTGCTAAAATATTTCACATAAATTCCTTTTAAGCCAGGTATCCTCCATTCTGAAGGGCTGTGATTGATTTTGTTGAACGTACATATAAGACTTTATTTTTGTCCCTATCGAATTTCATTTTGTTAGTTTTGGCCTTGTTCCAGTCTACAGGGATCATTTAAAATATTGTCTTTGTCACTAAGTCAATTAGCTCTCTACTGAAGAATTGCCATCCGCTTGGCTGATAAACATGTCCTTGTCCAAGCCATTGATAAAAGTGTTGATGGCTAGAGATAGAGACTTCGGGCATATTACTGGAGATTTCCTTTTGTACTTTTTGGGTAATACTCTTTTGATGGTGTAGCCAGCTGCAGATTTGATTGCCAGACCTGTCATCCAGCTCAGACTTTTTTTTTCATGTTTTACAGAAAGGTGCCATAAGAGATTTATTTAATATCTTGTGCCTGCAGCCTGTAGCAATACAATTTTGAATTTTATTTCTGTGGCAGCTTTGTCTCTCTGAGACATTTTTATCATCTGTAAAATGGGAATAATAATAATTTCCTTTGGAGCTCCTAAGTTTGGACCTGGAAAGGGACGTTTGAGATCCATTTACTCCAACCCTCTCATTTTGCAGGTGAGGAAACTGAGTCCCAGAGAGGTCAAGTGACCCAACCAAGGTGACACTGGCAATAAGTGGCAATGCCAGGGTTTGATCCTAGGTCTTTTCATTGTAATCTCTGGGGGTGGGAGGTCTGTATTAGCTCTTCCAGATTATATGATTGACAGCTAGGAGGCGAAGTGGATAGAGCACTGGGCTTGGAATCAGGAAGACTCATCCTCATGGATTCAGATGTGGCTTCATACACTTAATAGCTGTGTGACCCTGGGCAAGTCACTTAACCTTTTTGTCTCAGTTCCTCATCTGTAAAATGAGCTGGAGAAGGAAATGGCAAACCACTCCAGTTAAAGAAACATCTTTGCTGAGAAAACTGCAAATGTGGTCACGAGGAGTCTGAAATGACTCAATGATGATTATATGATTAGCTCCCTGTTCTGCCTGTAGCAGCTTAGGCAGGCACTTGGGCTACTTTTAATGAATCAGATAGAGGTATTTGTCTTTCTCTAACAGGGTGGAATGAAGGGGGCCCAAGAAGTACAGGGGAAAAAAGTTGGTTTCTTTCATTACCTCAAACTTTTGAGTTACTACTACATCCAGGGCCCTGTGAATCATGAAGGAAATGAGCTTCAGTCTTGTATGTAGGCTTATTTCTGCAGGCAAGGGACTGTTTTAGAGCATCGTATCTACTTCCTAGCTTCTTCCTCCCCTTCCTGCCCTGCACTCACTGTCTCATCTGCTTCATTAATTCTAGCTCTCAAATCAGCTTCATGTCTTTCTCTGTCTCTAATCTTATGACCTCCCTCAAGCCTTCTGATTTTGTATGAACTTGCCTTGTGCTCCTTTGCTCTGTTCTTGAATTGTTCTTCCCTTTCACTGTCAACAAAGTCTCATGCACACAGACACATAGACATGCAGTATTGGAATCAATTTTTTAATAGGATTTTGAAGCTGAAAAGTTAACTTGATGATCATGAGAAAACTCAGACCAAGAGAAGCTAAGTAAATTACTTGGCCAAGCTCATATGACCAATAAGTTGGCAGAGCCAGGCTTAGAATCTACTTTAAAGTGTTACAGAATAATTCCAAGAATCTGGGAATGCAATTCGGAATTCTGCCAAGTATCTTGTATTATGGTGGTTTATCGTACATGATAGATATTTGTCTAGAGGCAATGTCATAGCAAGATTTATCTTGTTGAAGAAGCAGCTTACTATAAATAACTTTTGTTTCTCTCTGATTTCTTAGAGGGGACATGTGGTGGTTAAATTCCATAGATAATCAAACAATTGAATCACTTTTTAAAAAAATTATTTGTTAATTTTTAGTTTTTAACATTCACTTCCATAAGCTTTTGAGTTTTAAATTTTCTCCCCCTCCCCCCCTCCAATATGGTATGCAATCTGTTATGGGCTCTACATATACATTCATATTAAACTTATTCACGTTAGTCATGCTGTAAAGAAGAATTAGAACTAATGGGAGGAGCCATGAGAAAGAAGAAACAAAACAAAACAAAAAGGGAGCAAATAGTATGCTTTGATCTGCATTCAGGCTCCAAAATTCTTTCTCTGGATGTGGATAGCCTTTTCCATTGTGAGTCTTTCGGAGTTGTCTTAGATCCTTGCATTGCTGAGAAGAGGTAAGTCTATCAGTTAGTCATCACACACTGTGGCTGTTACTGTGTACAATGTTTTCCAAGTTCTGCTCACTTCACTCAGCATCAGTTCATATATGTCTTTGCAGGTTTTTCTGAAGTCCACCTGCTCATCATTTCTTATAGCACAATGGTATTCCATTCTATTCACATACACAACTTGTTCAGCCCCTCAATTTCCAATTCTTTGCCACCACAAAAAAACTGCTATAAATATTTTTGTACATGTGAGTCCTTTTCCCATTTTTATGATCTCTTTGAGATACAGACCTAGAAATAGTATTGCTAGGTCAAAGGATGTGGTTTTTATAGCCCTTGGGGCATAGTTCCAAATTTTTCTCCAGAATGGTTGAATTAGTTCAAAACTCTGCCAACAATGCATTAGTGTTCTAATTTTCCCATGTCTTCTCCAGCATTTATAATTTTCCTGTCTTGTCATGTTAGCCAACCTGATAGGTGTGATGTGTGGTACCTAAGAGTTCAAACAATTGCATCTTAACCCAGAATCTTAACTTAGTTTTCATTTTGGCTTTCTCTTCTCCCATCATTAGCTGGGAGAAACAAGAAACAAAACCAACCCTTTGTTTCCTTTTATTTTCCCAACTCACCTGTTGGCAGAGATGCTAATATGTGGAAATGATCAAAAGGTAGGTTCAGTAGGAAGAAGAGAAGCTCTGGGCCTGAATGTTTATTTCATGATCAGTTCTACAGACGGACATTGACTTATATGTGTTTGTATTAACCGTGTGCATTGTTGATGCTTGTCAGACATCTGATTTCATCATAGGTAACTGTGATTAGATCATCATATATTTGTTGAATATTCAATATGTGTAAAGGATTGTTGTAGGCTTTGAGAAAACAGGATATTTTAATCTCTTAAGAACCTTTAGATTTAAAAGTTCCTATCAACCATTTAGATCATCCTTAATTTTTAATACTAGATTATAATCTTTTTGTGTTGTTTCTACCCAACAGATTGTGTGCTTGTTTTATATTTTTTGGTATTTTGAAACAAGCTTTCACCATGGCTGTGGGAGACTATGATGAACTTCTCAAATATTATGAATTATATGAAACTATTGGGACAGGTAAGCCTTGCTCCTTTTTTTTTTTTGGTAGCAAGAGGTCTAATGGCTATTTGAGTTTTTAGCCCATGAGTTCTTGCTGATTCCTAACCTATGTCACTCTGTCAAATAAGCAATATTGTTTAGCAATCAGCACTACTGCATATCCTTCATGAGATCAGAAGAAGCCCATGTTAAGATAAATGTTGCTAGATGGAGTTCAGACTTTTAAGATTTTAATCAATCACAAATTTTCAATTACTTGGCCATACTTTTGCATATGCACACATAGTCAATTACCTGTTGATTGGAGTGGTCAACCCTTAATGAAGTGGAGATAGTTATTTGACAGTCTTATTTCAATCTTAGTTTTGATGGAACACTTCAAAACTTTAGGTTGGTCTTTATATATTTTTGTTTCTAGATAGCAAGAGTTATTTTTGTATGTTTGCCTAATCATGTCACTTAAGCTTGTTCACTGCCCAGGATGGTCATAGTCAATCCTGGAGCACCTGGATCTTGACACTTTGATAGGTGCTCTGATTGTTTCTCAGACAAGCCCAATGTTGTACAATATTTTCTTAATTTACCTTTAATTCCTCACATTTTACCTTTCTTACTCTGCTGCTCTTGGTGGCGTCCATGCATCTGTGCCACCTTCTACACTGTTTTGTAACTTAAATCCTTCTGTTTGGGCACAGTTTCTATTCAGTAGGGTTAATTTAGTTTAGTTCTGTTTCACAGTATCAGTCTTATGAATATGAGTAATCACTTTTTGATACTATAATCATTGCCACACTCACTTCTTTGATTATATGTAACATATTTTAATCCATAATTTCTCATTTTTCTTAATTTACATGCTTTAGGTAGAATAGCAGTCTTAATTCTGATTTAATAAATATAATGAATTGATATAATAAATATAATAAATTTTGTGTTGAAGAGAATGTCTGTTATGTTGTTTCAGGTAGCCTTCACTGAACAAGATAGATTATTTCCCAAATGGAAATTATTTGTAGAAAGGCAGGAATATTTTTAGTAAGATGAATACTTAAATATTACTTTAATGACATCTCTGGTAGCAATAGTAATCAGTTGCAAGTATTTGAATATGTATTAGGTCTCTGAAAATCTTGTAGTTGATATGGGATTGCATGATGTGGGCTTCCAGTAGATAGAATGGAATTACTATATTCTCTGCTTGCATCGATTATTATTTGTGGGGCTTGGCTTGAGTCTTTGGTAGAAAAATTGCTGAGGGTCATGTATATGATCTTTTTCCTCTAGGTTTCCATTTTAGGTAAAGTCCTGATGAGAGTAAACAGTCACTATTTCACTACTAAATGGTTGGACTAATATCAATAATTTTTAACTAGTGAAATAATATAGGACCAAGGTATATCACTTACATAGTGTGGTACGATAGGAAACCTTATTTAAAATCTAATTTTGGTATATATGGAGCTTGAACTCTCCTTTTCTTTAGTGATAGTGTTTGTAGGACTATTTATAAATAGTAAGGGAATAGGGAAATTCATGGTTCTCCTACTCTCTTTGATTTGGATAACTGTCTTTATTTGTTTAACTGGCCTGCACAAAATATTGATAAGGCTTTTGGTGTGTTTTGAAAGATTGTTGGTTATATTTACAGCTTTATTAAGAGGTGAATTGATGTTGAAAGTGTTATTAATCTTTTGTCACTGGCAGATTATTCACAGACTACCCCCCCTTTTTAATAAAATTTTATTGATTTCTTTTGTGTTTATATAATTTTCATTTCCAATTATATCTTTTCACTATCTTTTGTAACAAAGAATAAAACAAAGAGAAAAAAGCAGTTCAGCAAAACTAACCAATGGATTGATGAAATCTGACAGCACATGTAGTCTTTTACTTCCATAGTCTTTTGCCTCTTCAAAAAAGGGAATGAAATCTATATTCTCATCTCTTATCTGGGACCAAGCTTGGTTATTATAAATACATAATGTTCAGTTTTGTTTATTTCTGCATCGGGTTCAACAAAACATATATGTGTTTATATACACACAGGAGTATCCTTTTCTATATGTAAAAAATATACTTCTGCAGCATTAGCTCTACAGCAATTTTCTTTAAAATGAATTCTATCTAGTACCTTGAAAAACAGTCCACTAATTTTTTTTTTAATGAAGAAGAGTTTAAGATAGTACCCACTATGCAGCCAACTGTGAAGAAAGAATCAGGATATAGTGGGGAAAATGTACATACATCCAAGCCATTGGAAAATGACTTGGCTTGTCGCCTAAGCCCTTAATTCTGGAGATTATATTTACCTAGTCTCTTTCTAAATATGTTTATTTTGAAATGTTACTTTTCCTTAAACTCAGGTGGCTTTGCAAAGGTTAAGCTTGCCCGCCATATTCTCACTGGAGAAAAGGTAGCGATAAAAATCATGGACAAGAATACTCTAGGGGTAAGTGTTATTTTTTTGTTTTTGTTTTCAAATTTAATGTTAAATCAACCTCATAAATCAAAATCCGATTTCTAGAACTCATAGTGTAGGGATTTATGACATTAGACATTACTTTAGAGGAGGTAAGGGTCACCTGGTTCATGAATTTGACAACAGGCTAAGTAAGGATGCTTGTATGAGCTCTGTATAATCCATTAGTCACTTAACTAAATCTAGTTTCTAGATTTTCTGAGCATGTATTTGACAGTTTCTTTGACTGCCTTAATTATTGCCACGTTACCTATGTGTTTCATAAGATGGGTTCATGAATTCAGTAGGATTTAGTTTATTGTGGGAAATAAAATATTTCATTTTAGCTGTGTCTATTTTGCCCTGGTAAAATGAGGATAAAAGCGTTGTTGCAACCCATCACTTCAATCAGTCAATCAAGAAGCATTTGTTAAGTGCCTTTGAACAGGTACTATGCAAGATTTTAGGCATAGAAATACAAAGGATGAAACAATGGACCAATCCCTACTCTTGATTTCTAATGAGGGAGATTAAAAATACATATATAATTTTATATATATGGAAAAACACAAATAATTACGAAGTATTTCTGCATAAGGTAGTTTGGGAGGGAGGGTACTAGCAGTTGGGGCAATTAGGAAAGACCATGTAAAAGGTGGCCCTTGAGTTGTGACTTGAAGGAAGAGAGGGATTTTTTGAGGAAGAGGTGAGGAGAGAGTTCATTATGTAGGTGTGGGGAACAATCAGTGGAAGAGCATGGGGATGGGAGATAGACTAATGTGTTGGAGGAACAATCTTTTAGTTTGGTTGGATTGCATAGTGTTGGAGGAGGAGAAATGTATATTGAAGCTGTAATATGTTAGGGCCAGGTTGTGAAGGGCTTTATAAGTTCAACAATGAAATGTATATTTTTATCCTAGAGGCAATAGGGAACCCTTGGAGTTTATTGAATAGGTAATTGATGCGGTTAGATCTGCACTTAAAGAAAATCACTGAGGCAACCGTTTGTAGAACGGCCTAGAGTGAAAAGAGGCAGAAAGATGATTGGGAGGTCATTGCAATAATTTAGGTGAGAAGTTATGAGGGCCTGAACTAAGGTGGTAGTTTTGGGAGTAGAAAAAAGGGTCAGATTTGAGAGATTTTATGGAGATAGAAATGGCAAATGCACTTGTATTCAATGATAGTGTTTTCTAGACTTGAAGGAGACTATTTGTTAAAAGAAGGTCTTGACACTGAAAAAAATATTTCTTTCAAGCACAGGTTTTTTTCAGCTTGAATCTTGCAAGACTCTAAAAGTGCTGCAATACAACTATTGTAGTATAGATAGCAGAGTGATATTGATGTTTTTTTTTCCCAATCAAAAAAGTAAAAATTTATTATTCAGGTGCAAAAAAGAAAATAATCTATCTAGAATGTTGAGGGTCTGTGGCATCCAACTTTGTCAGAGAGCAGTCAAATGATGGCAAGAATCCTGTATCAGATGATAGAAATAAGAATTCTGAATAAGATGGGAATGCTGCTACAGTCCTCCATAGGGTGATATCTCCTGAAAGTTTCAGCCAGTTGTGACCAGGGGTCTGGCATTCCATAACCCTGCACTTGTGGTTTTTGTGGTCAATACAGTCAGTCTAGTTAGACCTCTGTCTCATCTTTTTCCACTTGCCTTTCAGCCTGTGTATTTACTTCTTCTTAACTTGGCTGTTATGGTGGAGTGGAAATGACAAGATGGTGCTAAGACCATGAGCTTTTGATATGTTTTTCCATTTCAACTAAAATGGAACATTTTACTGTCATTGTGTATTTTGTGAAATTACGATTTATTGAAAATAGATTTAATCAAATGCCAACATGAACTAGAGGTTTGTGAGCTTTAGACAGAAGCCCAGAGTTTGAGTTTCTGATTTTGCCGTGAAGTTAGACAGGATCCTGTTTACAAACTGGCCATAATACATACTGGATCATTTTATGATATTTAAAGTGTAGAACATTATTCCAGGACAGTGTTTCAGATCAATTTTTTCATGATAGAGCACAGGGCTCTAATTCTTTCACTAAAGCTCCTTGAGGTGTACTTACTTCATTAAGGTTGTATTTGGCCCAATTTATGATTTCTCCCCTAAATTGTTAATCTATATTACGAGAAGCTACAGAGAGAGTTAGTTAAATATAAGGTACGTTGGGGCAATGGGGATGCTTTTGTAAGTCAGCTAATTCTTTCAAATATGGTTTTGTAGAACACCAAAGCATAATGACCTTGCTTCGAAATCAGTTAACCTCTCTTGCTTGGATGCTTTTCTAAATTGATGCTCTAGTTCCATTTAGTCTTTCTTTGGTAGTATATATAGTTCTATTTGCTAACATGTTTTAATTCCTTACATTTTTAAAAAGTCTCCCATATCCTTCTATATTTTCTGAAAGTTTATTCAACCTCTTGAATTGGTTCTCTAACAACTAGCCTTCTTTCTAGAAGATGTATTCATATTCCACTGAGTGATATTGAAGTTAGAGAGAAATTCCAGCTGGTAGCCCTGGTTTCCGAAGGCCTGTTATACATTTTGCTAGCAGAAGAATTAACGCTCCTCAGTATGGGGTTTGGAAGCTGAATTGGAGTAAGGAATGTTTTTTGGAAATACTAAGAGTATCTAGCTAGTGTTCTTGGTCTTAGATAGAAGTTCTTTTCCCTGTTCAAATGAAAAATGGAGGCTTTTTTTTGGTAGGATGGAAGAGAGGCGTATTGGTGGGAGATAGATCTTACAAATGCTTTCTATAAGAGAGAATCCCTTCCCGATGGTCCCTGTGAGTAGTAAATGCTGGGATAGTGAAAGATCATGAGAGTCAAGGAGCCCTGGGATTGTTTGTGTCCTGATTCCTTAGTGTCCAACTTCCTGTCTAATCTTGTTCTTTAAATTTTTGCATCTTGGCTTCCACATTTGTAAAATGAAGAGTTTAGATTAGATGATCTCTAAGGCCCCTTTCAGCTCTAAGATTCTGTGATGTTCAAGTTTGCCTGGGCTGAAGGGATGGGCCCGACTGGGTATGGTGGAAGCAATAGCTGTTGCTTCTACTGCTCAGTGTCAGTCAGTCAGTTAATAAGCATTTATAAAGTATTTGCTGTGTGCCAGGCACTGTGCTGAGCACTGAGGACACAAAGAAAGCCAGTCCGCTGTTGAGAGGTTCACAATCTAATGGGGGTGCCAAGTGACCAAACATGTGCAAACATGCTATACATACAGGATAGATAGGAAATAATCAACAGAGAGAAGGCACCAGAATTAAGAGGGACTGGGCAAAGCTTCCTGTAGAATTAGGGGAAGGGAATAAGCATTTATATAGCAACTACCATGTGCTAGGCACCATGCTAAGTGCTTTTTACAAATATCTCATTAAGTCCTCACAACAGCCCTGCAAGGGTAGATACTGTTATTATCTCTGTACAGTTGAGGTAACTGAGACAAATCCAGGGTAAGTGACTTGCCCAGGACAACATAGCTAGTAAATGTCTGAGGCTGGATTTGAACTCAGGTCTTCCTCACTCCAGTCCCAGCCCTCTATCTCTTGTGCCACCCAGCTGGGATCTTTTCTGGGACTTGAAGGAAGCCAGGGAAGTCAGGAGGCAGAGATGAAGAGGGAGAACATTTCAGGCTGGGAGGACAGCCAGAGAAAATCCCTGGAGCTGAGAAGGAGTGTCTCGTTTGAGGCCCAGCAAGGAGGACAGCATCACTGGATTGAAGAATACTTGGATGGAGTGGCTGGTGTAAGAATATTGGAATGGTGAAGAGGGTTGGGGGGAGGTGGGCCTAGGTTATGAAAAGCTTTGAATAGCAAACACAAGATTTTGTATATAATCTTATAGGTGATTGGGACACACTAGAGTAGGGGGTGTCATAGTCAGACTTATGCTTTAGGAAAATCATTTTGGTGGCTAAATAGAGGATAGACTGGAGTACGGGAGAGATTTGTGGCTGATGACCCAGCAGGCTATTGTAGTAGTTCAGATATGAGATGATGAGGGCCTGTACTAGGATGATGTCGTTAACAGAAAAGTGAAGGGAGAGAAGTTACAAAGGTTAAATCAACAGGCTTCCATCAACAGATTGAATATGGGGGAAGCAGACAATGATGAGTTGAGGATGACACCTAGGTTGTAAGCCTGGAGGACTAGGAGAATGGCGGTGCTCTCAACAGTAACAGAGAAATTTGGAAGGGGAGAGGATATGAGGGAAAATGAATTCAGTTTGCAATATATTGAGTTTAAGGTGTCTACAGGACATCTGGTTAGAGATGTCTAATAGGCACTTAGAAATGAGGCTGGAGATTAGCAGAGAGGTTAAGTCTGGGTAAGTAGATTTGAGAATTATTTGCATAAAGATAATTAAATCCATGTGAAGGAGTATAGAGGGAGAAGAAAAGAGAGTAGTTTAGAACCCTATGGGCTAACCCACATTTAGCAGGCTTGACTTGGATGGAGATCCAGCAAAGGAGAGTGAGAAGGAACAGTCATATAGGCCAGAGGAGAGCCAGAAGAGTGCAGTTTCCTAAAGACAAGAGAGTATCAAGGAGAAGAAGGTGATTAACAGTGTTAAAGGCTGCGTAAAGGTCAAGAAGGATGCGAATTGAGAAGAGGCCATTGGATTTGGCAGTAAAGAGGTCATTGGTAACTTTGGAGAGAGCAGTTTTGATGGAATAATGAAATCAGAAACCAGATTATAAAGGATTAAGAAGCTAGTGAGAGGAGATGGAGTGGAGGCCCTTGTTACAGATTGTCTTCTCAAGGAGTTTAACTCTAAAGGGCAGAAGAGTTTGAGATAGTAGGGATGGGAGTATCAAGTATATCAGACAAGACTTATACTCTGTGTTCTGAGGTATGGTCTAGACATCTGTTTTCTTTCCAAGGGGTGAGGTTTTTATTTGAGGAGGTTTGGAAGACTTTTTGGGACCTTGTTAGAGAATTTCTTATTCCAGTGTTGGGGGGACAAGATTGTCTTATGAATTTAGCTGTTAATATTGGGCTTTTACTCTCTCTAGTTATATTTTATGTGCATAATGTATTTGAATGCATCTACCTATCTGTGTTTATAAGCTCTGTTTTCATAAAGTTCTAATATTGAAAAGTTTGATTTAACTTGGAAGCTTGAAAATTAAAATTGTTCAATGATTTCTATTCAACTTGTTGGATTTAAAAATGTGAAAACTGTGATAGTAAGTTTAATGGTTTATTTCTTCAGTTGAAATCTTTTTGTGCTTGCTTTAAGTCTAAGTATAAACACTTTGCTTAAGAATTTTTATCTGTAGGGGGAACACAAATGGGCTTTCCTCAGAAGTCCTGAAGGATACAGGACCTTCCTTCCATTTAACTCCCAGTTTCATAGCCTGAAATGGAATAAGAATATGTATATGGGTTTCCTAAGGACAAGAACGGTGTTCAAAGAAGATACTTATTAAACAAACAAAAAAAATTTGTTAGGGATTGTATAGGACTGTGCCATGTGCTTTGTGTGCATAATGCTGTTGTTTATGACCTGCACAAGGAGAGGAGGAGCAGACAGAATACCTTCTTTTCTTTTTCACCTTCCCCAACCAAATAAACTCATTACTGATTTTCTTTTGAAGTTTTGTACAAGCCTACATATTCTTTGGGCCAGAAGTGCCAACCTCACAAGCCTGCCAAACTCCAGAGTGTCAATGGAAACCAGATTAAAGTGAAATTGGGAAATGTTTAACAGAATAAGTAAAAATGCAATACAACATAGATAATATTAATTTGTGGTTGTCTTAGTCAATATATAGCCTGCAGGGATCTGTTTCTATTTGAGTTTGGCACTACTGCTCTCACCTGTAGATTAGAAAATAAGACTCTTTAGAAATGTAGAGAACATAATGTTCATTCACTATTTAAAGATGACTAAATAGTCTCTGTCCCTCCTAGAAAGCCTGGAAACCATCATCATTGTTATGATACAGATGTTTTGTAACATGCTTCAGATTGCTTTAGCATTGTAATTTTTGTTGTAGAATGATTTGCCTCGTGTGAAAACAGAGATTGATGCTATGAAGAACCTAAGTCATCAACATATTTGTCGTCTTTACCATGTACTTGAGACTGACAACAAAATATTTATGGTTATGGAGGTTAGTAGGTTCTCTTTTTTTTTTTTCCATTTTATTAATTAATTTTGATTTATCAACAATCACTTCCATATGCTTTTGAGTTTAAAATTTTTCTCCCCCTTCCTCCCCACCACCCTCCCCAAGACGGCACACAATCTGATAGAGGCTATACATTTACATTCCTATTAAACATATTTTCACATGAGTGAAGTTGTAAGTAAAAATTAAAACCAATAGGAGGAACCATCAGAAAGAGGAAACAAAACTCAACAGAAGAGAAAAAAAAAGATAGTGATTCAACTTTCACAGTTATGATTACTATCTGTGTCTTTTTCTCCATCCTTTTTTCCCTGCTTATGCTTTTCTTTCTCCTTTCTCCTTTTCCCTCCTCACTAGTGGTTTGCTTTTGACCACTCCCTCCCTCAGTCCCTCCCTCCCTTTCTCTTTTCTTCCCCTTTAGCCTTACTGCTTCCTCCCTCCCATCTATTCCCCCCTCCCTTTTCTTTCCCCTTTTCCCTCCTACTGCCTATGGGAAGTTAGATTTCTATACCTAACTGATTATGTTATTCCCTCTTGAGCCAAATCTGATGAGAGTAAGGTTCAAACAATGCTCACCCCCCTCCCTTCTTTCCCTCTGCTGTAATAGGATTTTATGTCTCTTCCTGTAATGTAATTTACCCTTGTCTGCCTCCTCCTTTCTCAGTACATTTTCTAAGATCAGACTAATCCACTTACTTGGATCCATTTAACCCACTTGATTAGATTTTTTTTTATCATTACATCAAAGTCAACTAATATCCACCCCTTTATGTATACTCTTTAACATGGTGTAATAACAATACAGTTCTCAAGAGTTGCAAGTGTCATCTTCTCTTGTAGGGATGTAAACAGCCCTCCCTTATTAACAACATTTTGTATCTTTCTGTCCCATTTACCTTTTTATGTCTTTCTTGAATCTTGTACTTGAAGATCAAATTTTTTGTTGAGCTCTGGTCTTTTTATCAGGAAGGTTTGGAAGTCCCCTATTTTGTTGAATATCCATCTCCTCCCTTGAAAAATCATGCTCATTTTTGCAGGGTAGTTGATCCTTGGCTGCAATCCAAGCTCCTTTGCCTTACAGAATATCATGTTCCACGCCCTGTGGTCTTTTAATGTAGAAGCTGCAAGGTTCTGTGTAATCCTGACTGTGGTTCCATGATATTTAAATTGTTTCTTTCTGGCTGCTTGCAGCACTTCTCTTTCATCTGGTAATTTTGGAATTTTGCTGTTATAATCCTCGGCGTTGTCAATTTGGGATCTCTTTCAGGTGGTGAGTGGTGTATTCTTTCTATGGTTATTTTACCTCTGGCTCTAGGACTTACGGGGAGTTTTCCTTTATGATTTCCTGAAAGATACTGTCCAGGCTCTTTTTTCATCATGATTTTCAGGTATACCAATAATTTTTAAATTGTCTCTCCTGTATCGATTTTCCAGGTCGGTTGTTTTACTGATGAGATATTTTATGTTTTCATCTATTTTTTAATTTTTTTGTTTCTTTTTAACTGATTTTTGGTCTCTCATAGAGTCATTAGTTTCCATTTGTCCAATTCTAGTTTTTAACAGATTGTTTTCTTCTGTTAGTTTTTGTACTTCCTTCTTCAGTTGGCCTATTGTATTTTTAAGGGATTTGTTTCCTTTAGTGTACTTTTTTTCCAGTTTGCCAGTTGTGTTTTTTAGGGACTTGTTTTCTTCAGTGTACTTTTTTTCCAGTTGGCCAATTGTATTTTTTAAGGACTCTTCTACCTGTCTCATTAGACTTTTAAGATCCTTCTTGAGATCTTCTAAGAAGGCTTTTTGGGCTTCAGACCAGTTCATATTCCCTTTTGATGTTGCAGATATGGGTTTGTTGACAATGTTGTCCTCTTCAGAATTTCTGTCTTGATCTTTACTCTTCTCACAATATGAATCTATGGTACGTTTCTTTTTACTCATGGTGTTTCCTTATTCCCTGGCCTTTAAAGAGATTGAGCTCTCCTGCTGGGGAACAGAGGGCAGTGACCCAAGCTTCTTGTGTTGGGAGCCTAAGTCTTAGTCACTGGCTTTGTGTGCTGGGGCCTCTTATGTTGGCAATTGGAGGCTGTAGAGTTTTGGCAGCTTACCTTGTGTTGGGCTGGAATCAGCAAGGCTGGAACCTTCAGGCAATTCTAGGTTGCCTGCTTTTCCTTTCCTTTAGCTTTCTTCAGCTCCTTTTAGATGGGTAGTGCAGGGTGTTTATCTGCCTGGGGCCCCTTGCAATGCTGCCTCCCTCATTTCTGCTAATGCACTGGGAGATTCCTTTGCAGTAGAGTGCCAAGGCACCTGGTGGTTTTCTGAACTGGTTTCCACTGGTGTGTGTCTCCCACCCACCCCCTCGCCCTCATTGAGGCCCTGGGAGGTCCAGGTGTTGGTGTTTGTCTGCTCTACCTCCTGGGCTTCAGGATCTCCTCCTGGTTGACAGTTGGAGGTTGTAGGGTTTTGACAGCTTATCTGGTGTTGGGTTGAAATCAGCAAGCCTGGGACTTTAGGAAGACTGTAGGTTGTTTTCTTCAGCTCCTTTTAGAAGAATGCTGCAAGGTGCTTATCTGCCTGGGGCCCTTTGTAGTGCTGCTTCCATCTTTCTTATAGTTCAGCTGTTCAGGATTTTTTTTTTCTGGGGTGATATTTTCTGGGTTTTCAGAGGTTGATAGGGGAGGGTGAGAGCGACTACCTTTTTACTCCGCCATCTTGGCTCGGTTAGTACGTTCTCAAAACTTAAACGTATTTGCTAAATAAGATATACGTACCATTAATTTGCAAAATTTAAAATACTGCATCTTGAAAGTGAATATTCATTATGAATGTGCATCACATATTAAGTTTCAGTGATGTGTCTGTGTTATCAAAGTATTTAAGTCCCTATTGTGGTTCTGTGCTTAGAGCTGTCCCAAGATTGTTCCCTGCATAGTAAGAGTTTGTGCTCCTTGGCTTAGAACACTAATGACAAAAGATAAGGACTTGGGGGCAATAGAATGAAAACAAGTGAAGATACAGACACTTACATAGACACTGTGGATGCAAGTTGTAGAGTGGATATGTGTGGGAGTAGGAGATAGAGAAGTTAGCTGGGGAGTTTCTCTGCTTATAGTTCATGTTGCTAGAGGAAGATATCTCCTTGATGAATTTGGAAGCCTTTAGGGATAATGTGTAACTTCAGAGGATATTTGAATAATGAAATAACTAAGCAGACTGCTGGGCTGGGATGTTTCAGCCATGTAATGTGGCTCAGTGCAGAGCCTGTTACCTGAGTAGTTGAAGAGGACTTGAAGCAGATGTGTCTGAGATGGGCCTCCAGAAACAAAATGGGGCTGTTGGAGATAATCCTGGTGTGCCTTGTTCTGGAGACTTGTTCCTGTTTCCTGTTGTTTGTTCTTCATTCTCGAAGAGGGCTATGACATCAGGAAGGAGATGCTATGACTTGCAGGTGAATTGGATTTAAGTGAGGGAGCGCTATGCAAAGTTACCAGCTTTACTTTTTCTCTGGAGCCATCTGGGTCCAGTGGCCAGATATAGATCAGGACAATTGAAGATGGCCTCATTGTGAAGACTTGAAATCCAGGGCAAGGTGATTGAACTGATTTATAGTGTGACATTAGGACACTTGCAGGGTGTTAAGGAGGATGGTGAAAAAGATACCTTTTGACAGTAGCAGTGAGAGTAAGTGAGTTGGATAGGATTGAGAGTTCTCATGCTACAGGTGGGGGGGATTGGACTAGATGACTTTTTGGGGTCCTTTCCAGTTCTGATTGTGTGAGCCTGTAGAGATGGAGGAAGTAAGGTGAGAAAAGGGTTATAATAGTTTGGGTGAGAAATAAGCATGGGTCTGGAGTAAGGCTCTGTTAATAAGGATAGGAAGAAGGAGTACAGAATAGAAAATATTATGAAGGTGCAACAGTTCTAGCAGTAGATTGAGAACGTAGGCAGCAAGGAATAGTGATGAGTCAAAGATGTCTCTAAGATTTCTTGATTGCTGTTTTGTCAAAATAGAATTGCCCGAAGCTGCTCTATATTTTCATGTTTATTTTGATTCAACAGCAGGGCAACCAGTCTGAGATGTCAGGGACACAGTATTACATGGGAGTGATTTTTTCACATTTTTTCATTTTATCCTAGACTCTCTTTTCTTTTGATTGTATTTTCCCCTCATTGGCAATCTTATTTCCTCTCCTGATTTTACACTCTGACCTCTCTTCTGACCTGTATATCCATGTAGCATTATAGATAAAGTGTGGGTAGAGGCCTTAACAGGTAATCTAGCTCAATTCCCTTGTTTTGCAGTTATTGGCCCAGAGAGGTAAAGGGAAATGACTCTATTCATGGAGAGTGAGGATGTGAGTTTAGCTCATCCTACCCCAAATCGATCATTCTCTCTACTTCACTCTGCTTCCCCTCCCAGCTTCTTATTCCTAAATGTCCTCCTGGCATGTCATACTCAACCTGTCTCTGCCCTGAAATTTCTTTGTCTTCTTGACTTAACAGTTTGTGTCACTGGTACCATAATTCATGTACTTGACTTTTTACTTTTCCATCACCTCTCATATTCATTCCCTTATCAAGCCCCAGGGCTTCTGTGTTCCTGGCATTTCTTACTTGTGTGGCCTCCTCTTTTTGCATGGCTGCCATGTTCATGCCTCATTAGCCCATTCCTGTTTTGTTCTACTAGCAGCCTCTTGCCCCTGTACTCTGCCACCTCTAACCCTCTTTTCCTACAGATTTATCTTCTGCACACGTAGATCTAGGTGGGGCTCTTGTTACCTGTATGACTTCGGGTATTAAATTCACTTTTTGATCCTTGGTTTCCTCCTTGGTGAAGTAAAGGGATTAGATTAGGTAATATCTGAGGTCACTTTCAGTTCTAAATTCAAGACCTTTTGATAAAAAAAAAGATTCAATGGTCCTGTTGCTCCACCAAGTCAGATTGAAGCTCTTTTGACTAACATTCAAGGCCTTCCCCTGCTGGAGCATGTTGTGTCCTGCTCCATGTACTCTGTACTCCAGCCACACTGACTCTCTCTGTCTGCTGAACTCGATGTGGGTTCTCTGCTCTGCTCCTGCTGCTCTGTTTTCTCTCCTCCCTTTACTACCTGCTACATTCCCATCTCTCCTTTGAGTACAAGTACCACACTGCCTTCTCCGTGAAGCCTTCATTGAGCCATGGCTTCTTGGGCCTTACTTTTGCTCACCTTTCTAATGTGCTTTCACTTAACAGATGTTTACTATGTGTCTGTCAATGTGCAAGGCACTATGCCAGCCTGTAGACATATAAAGGTGAAAAAAAATCACAGTGCCAGCACTGGACATTGTTAGTGTAAGTATAACCATGATGGAAGATTAGGAGTGAAAGAGATCAAGACAAAATGCTCTGTGAAAGTTTGAGGACAGAGAAAATTCTTCCCACCGGGGATTGTATGTGGGGAGATGAAGGTTCATCAGGGATTGGTTCACAGGCTGTTGTGCCAATGCAAGCCTTGAATGAAGGTAAAGATTCTTAAATGTAGGGGGGAGGAGTTATGAATTCCAGGCATTGAGGATAATGTTTGTGCATTTACACAAGTGGAATACAGCATGAATTTGGGGAACAGTGACAAGTCCACTTTGGCTGGAAAGCAGAATGTGAAAAGGGGAACATGGTAAAATTGAATATGGTGGGGTTGCTTGAAGCAAATTGTGAGGGCCATAAATGTCAGGCTGAATAGTTTGTATCTTATTTCAGAGATAGGAGGGGACCATGGGAGGTTTTTGAGCAGAAGAGTGACGTGATCAAGACCTGCTGTGCTTGGCAAGATTATTTTGGCAACTCTGAAGGGTGGAGGCAAGAGACTAGAGGCACTAAGACTAGTGAGGAATGGTGGTGATAGGCAGAGATAATGACAGTCTAGACTCTAGTGGTGGCAGTGCAAGTGGAGAGGAGACAGAAGGAAGAAATAATGTCTTGGAAGAATTGATTGGATTTGGCATCTGGTTAGGTCTAGGGGCTGAGGGAGAATGCAGAGGTTTTGAGCCAGGGTGTAATGTACTCTCCAGTGTGGTTCTGAAAAGAGTTCTGGAAACTCTGAAGAACTATATTAATATGAGTTATTGTAATATTAACAAAAATGCAGTCATTAACAAAAATATACAGAAAACTATGATATATAAATAATAGTTTTCTGTGTGTTTTTCCCCTCTACTTATAAGCTCTGTGAAGGCAGGAACTATGATTTATCTGAACTTTGTATCTCCCCTACCACCAGGCACACTGCCCTACACACAGAAGGTACTTGTGTTTTTTGAATGAATGGATGAATGACCAGGTGAGGCCACTAGTGGATTAAACACTGACCCTGAAGTCAGGAAGACCTGAGTTCAAATCCAGCCTTAGGCACTTACTAGCTTTGTGACCCTGCACAAGTCACTTAATCTCTATTTGCCTCAGTTTCATTAACTATAAAATGGGGATAATAATGGCACCTACCTCGCAGAGTAGGGATCTAATGAGACAGTGTTTGAAAAGTGCTTATAGCATAGTGCCTGACGCAGGGTAGGTGCTATATAAGTGCTTAATCCCTTCCCCCAAGATGGATAGAGAGAGGATTTTGTGAATACTCAGTGAACAAAGTTTGGGGACCTTAGTGTGGGGGCTGCTACCAGCCAATCATGCCACCTCGGGCAGGTTATTTCACCCCTCTTGTTTTTAGTTTCTTTACCTCTAAAATAGTGGAGTTGAATTAGATTATCTCTGCTTTCTCTTTTAGCACCAATGTTCTGTTATTCTGGATGACTAAACCCCTAGAGGGTAGGGACTATTAATTTTGTTTATGTAGTCATACATGCTTGGACATATTTATTTAAAATACTTAATCATGGTTAAACAATTCAGATCCAAGAGATCTTGGTCCTATTTCTAATTTATTTTGAGGCATTGGGTAGGAACATGCTTCAGTAAACCAGCACAACCAAAAAGCAAAAACAAAAGCTTGTGTGAGAATATAAAATCATGTCTTTAAAAGACTGATATCAAAGGATATCTTTCATTGTTCAGTAGAGAGGTGATGGAGTAGAGCAGAAGTTCTTCTCCTGCGGTCTATGAACTTGTTTTAAAAATATTTTGATAACTATTTTAGTATAGTTGGTTTCCTTTGTAATCTTCTGATTTTATTTTATGCATTTAAGAGCATTCTGAGAAGGCTTCCTCAGACTGCCTAAGTGTTCAATGACCCACACAAAGTTAAGAGCTCTGGGCCTAGATGTACAGAAACAGACATGCATTCTCATATGTAGGCAGGACCTTGATTTGTTTTACTTGTCTATACAAATTTGTTGTCAAGGAGGGTGTCTGTTGTCAACAGAGGAAGGAGGTGACTTGGTGGGCAATGATAGATGTGGGGGAAAAATCAATAAAACATTTAAAAAGTTGTGCAGAAGTATGGGAGTGGAGGCACAGAAGAAGTCAAACAGTAGTTTGTTACTACCTACATAAACTCATATAAATATACACACATGTGTATCTATACATGTCTGCATATATGTGTGTGTCTATATATACAACATATGCACCAGTGTGTGTATGTATGCACTTGTATGTACAAGTGGAAGCTCTGTGGTAGAAAGTTTATTTTAATTGTCTTTCCTTTTCCTTCCTATGTTGAAATGTGTTTGTTGATTGAATTAAAGACAAAACATTTAAAAATACTCATAAAGGGGGAAAAAGGAGAACGTCCGTAAATTGTTCTGTGTTGTTTAGAGAGAAAGCACTGACTAAATGCATATTGTTTTGTTCTTGTTGCAGTATTGCCCTGGAGGAGAGCTGTTTGATTATATAATTGCCAAAGATCGTCTCTCGGAGGAGGAAACACGTATCTTCTTCCGTCAGATTGTGTCAGCTGTTGCTTATGTACATAGTCAGGGTTATGCTCATAGGGACCTTAAACCAGTAAGTGGCTGTTTTACAGTGAGTTTGACATTGAGCTTCAAAATTTCATTTGCCTATGGTTTTCAAATATTCTGTTGCTCCTTCCAGTCAAGTCATTGTTGTTTCCCAGACACAATAACTATTTATTTAGTTTATTCCGCTCCTCAGCATCTTGTATACACTGAAGAATGCTGGGCATATTCAAGTTTTTAGTGAATGCACATGGACAGACAGAATTCATTTCAATTAACCTTGATTTCCTACCATGCAAGGTACTGTGTGAGGCCCTGGGGGACACGAAGACCAAATGAAAACCTAGTCCCTGCCTATATGGAGCTCCTGTTCTACTGGGGGATTACAGCCTATAAAGAGATTAGTAGATATAAGCAGGAGGAAGGGCACAATTGAGATGAGGAAATATTTCACAGAGTAGGTGGCAACTGAGCCTTGAAGGAAGATTCTTAGAGGAAGAGATGGAGAAGTATGTTCCAGGTACGGGGAATGACTGGTTTGAATGCACAAAGGGCAGAGATGAACATTAGAAATAGACCCATTCATATGTCAGATGCACCTAAAGAACCTAATAAAAGATACAAGGAGGATGTAGAAGGAAGGGAATAGAAATGTAATATATATTCAGAATGGAACAAAGTTAAGACCAAAAGGAAGGCACTTGAATGGAAGGAACAGAGTCTTGAGAACTTAGTAATAGAGGGAATCTTTATGCTTAGTTTCAATTCCTTTCACCTCAGCTATGTTCCTCACTGACTAACTTTAGACTACTTTTTTAAATCCCCATTTCAATTAATTCACTTGGTTCTCACAGACCCCCTTCCAAGGGCCTTATCTTCCATTCACTGGACCCCAAAACCCAGAACTCAGCCCCTGTCTCTGCCTAATCTTATGCAGTTAGGATGCATAGTGTAGCCCATGGACTCTTTCTCAGAATAATGTTTTGAAGTGCATAGCATAAAATACATAGGGTTACAAAGGAAACCGATTATATTCAAATACACTTATCAAAATATTTTTGAAAAAAACAGATCCTATGTTAAGAATTCCTGCTCTGGGTTGGAGTTTATAGCTCTAAGTGAGACAGATTTTAATCTTCAGTAAAGGAGGCAGTGTTCTCATTAACTTAAGAGCAGCATTGTTGGGTTGTAGCAGCACTCGTACTCTGGTTAGATTTGAGGCTTAGGTAGAAGGGACAGGCCCTTAGTGGTTTGAATGAAGATTGATTTCTCACTCTTTAATTAGTCTTTTTCCTTTGGTATCTAGCCTCTCCCTCTTGGGGCTGAGATGGAGTGAGGTAGGAGCAATCCTAGAAGCCCAGTCCTTGACCAGAACTTGATGTGATTCTTTTATCTGATCCAGATTCTCAGTTTCTCTCTCCCTTTGTTTACAAGTCTCATCCCCTTAGTAATTAATGCCAGTAAGGTCACCCCTCCCTTAGAATTAACTTCTGCAAAATTTATCATTTAGACATAACTAATAAAGAGGAAAATTATGTTAATGTACTTTGATCAAGGAAACTTAGTTAATGGAAGTCTTTTTTTTTTCCCTTCAGGAAAACTTGCTGATTGATGAATACCATAAATTGAAGTTGATTGACTTTGGTCTTTGTGCAAAGCCCAAAGTATGTATGATGAGTTTATTTATTTTACTTATAAGCACTGCTCTTTTGTTTTTCAATATTAAAATGTTTAATGGGTAGCATCCCATATAATCACTGAATTTTGGAGTTAAAGAAGATATGATTGAAAGGGACTTAAAAAACTGTGCTGTTCTTTGTACTTTTAAGACTGATATGCTACTTTGAGTTTATTCCTACCTTGTTTTCATTGACCGCTCTTTGGCCTATTAAGAGGAGTCTAAATTTAGTAGTTGTATCAGCTGGAGAGAGGAACATTTTTAATAACTCTGATTTTAGTATAATCAGCTTTCAAAGAAACTAAATATCCTTTGATGGATCTGTGATCTGTTTGTGAATGAGATTCCTTCCACAAGTTCAGATCACAACTTTGCCCTATTTTCTTGTCATGTGAATTCTAGTCTGTGTCTTTCCTGTGATCCTTCATATAAGACCTTTTCACTCCAATCTCCCAACTAGAAACCTTCTTCTCTAAATCCTTTAATTTGCTGAGACCAGCTTCATATGGTTCCAGGGCATAGCAGTGGGCAGGGTGGATGACAGGGAGAGAGTACGGTGGATCACTGTGGCTGACCAGATGACTTCTTGCCAATCAGCATGGCCTTGGGGTGGGGGGAGGAAGGTGTGGCAGGAAGATTAGGAGTCTTTCAAGTTTCCCCATTAAAACACAGGATCACAGATGTAGAGCTGAAAAGGATCATTGATGAGGAATTGAAGCCCAGAGTTAAGTGATTTGTTAAAGGTCACACAGTAAGTAAGAGAAATAGGTATTGTGACTCCAAATCCGGCACCCTTCCTGCTCTGCCACATGGCTTCCCATAATTTTTTTTTTTTAATTCCTTTTTGAGAACCTGAAAAAGTTAAGTCAGGATAGGAGTGTCTTTAAACTTGCAGCAGTGCCAGTGTGGCTTTCCTTTGTAGTCAGACTCAGTTGTTCTTTGCTTTGTCATTTTAAGTGCTGTTGCTACCTCCTCATATAGCACTCTGGGTACTGAGATGGTCAAGTCCAAATAATGTGGTTATGCTGTCATTGATTATGAAGATCAGTTGCTATAGAAACACTGGGCAGTCTAGTCCATTTCACTACTGGTTTTGTCTATAAACATTCCTGGGGCAAATCTAGCTCAGAATACATTGTATAAAGCTTTCTGTGGGGTTGTATTTTCCCCTCTATTAGATTTTACTTTGTGAGACAATACTGACCATATTCTTCTGCCATTTTCTGTCGTGTTTTACAAATCATCTTATATTTTAAATAGTATGGCCTTTGGCCTTCATGTTTCTTTACTTGGTTAAGAGGTTAGTGTTTGCTGGCTGAGGTGATTTCTGGGTATTTTTGGTCATCAAATCATAGCATTTGTTTTCAGTTAATAAAGCATCTCTAAATAATGGTGATAATCATGGTCAGGCTTTAATTTTATCTAGTTACAATTTTCCAGAGGCAGCAGCTTATTTAAATAGATCAATTTAGAACTGTTGTTATTAAACAAAATGTTTTCTCGCTTTTATTTTCCTCATTAGATGGTGGCAATTTTGACCTTTGATAACTAATCAGTTGATGACCTGATTGTGTACCAACAGCTGATAATGACCCATTTCCCACTACTAAGTAACTGGTTTCCTATCAGTATTTAGTCCATTTCTTTTTTCATGGTATTTAGTGTTTGTCATGGTGAATGCTTTCCAACTCTTTTTTTTTTTGTGAGGCGGTTGGGGTTAAGTGACTTGCCCAGGGTCACACAGCTAGTAAGTGGCAAGTGTCTGATGCTGGATTTGAACTCAGGTCCTCCTGACTCCAGGGCCTGTGCTCTAGCCATTGTGCCACCTAGCTGATCCTCCAACTGTCTTCTTAAAGAAAAGATTCACGATATTTAGGAATGAAGTTTGAGTAATGTGCATGATGTTATTCTCTTTCCTTTTTGTTAGTTCTCAAATTTTTTGCCCACCTCTTTTTTCCATTTCCTATCCTGTGTCTATCAAATGCCAAGGTTTACATTGAATGGTCTCACAGGATCATAGATCTTGAGATAGAAGGGGTGTCAGAGACCATCTAGTTCCATCCCCTTATTTTACACAGGAGGAAACTGAGGCACAGGAAGGGTAAGTGACCTGCCCGAGGTCACACAGTAAAAAGCATCTGATGCAGAATTGGAGCCTTGGTTCTCTAATTCTAAAGTGGTGCTTCTCCCTGTCCCCTGCCCCGCCCATGTTCTCAGGTTCTTCAGTAGAATTTTGCCACTTTATATTTTACAACAGACATTGACCTATGGTAGTCTTTTTGCTTATGTTAATCACTGATACTGTAAGATAAGAGGAACAGAAGAATGAGGATCCCATAAAACAGTGTTTCTTGTTACCTTTGGGCATGTAATGAAATCAGCTCCTTTAGTTTCATCTTCGAAAAGAACCAGCGTTTCTTATGTTTAGCTGCAACTTACATTGTCTATTTGATTTGAATAAGTGAATGAAACGTTTATTAATCACCTCTATATGTAGAGCATTGTGTTAAGAACTAGAGATACAAAGAGAAAAGTAAAACCGTCCCTATTCTCAAGAAGATCACATCCTAATGGGGGCCATAACACAAATGGAAGGCTTCAGCTACAAGTCAGATGGAAAGGTCCCATGGGGGCAGCAGCAAAGCAGATGGTAGTGACACTATTTTCATGCCACTTTCACTGTTAAAATCATAAGTGTCTGATGTTGAACCATTGGTCGATGCAAGGGCTTTGTTGATAACTTTCTTTCCTGGTAGTACTACTTTCCTTCAGGAGCCGAGGCTGTAGCCCCACAGGAACAGTGGCCAGGCTGCCCCTCCACAGGGGCTGCTTCCCAGGATGATAACTGTGGGGCCTGGGCTGGAGGCTGGGCTGCTCCGTGAGGGTCTGAGGGGAGATGGTGGTGGCTGGACCTGTCCAGCACATTCAGACTCCTGTCTCTCCCCATGATGCCTTGCTGCTTCACTGAGGCTGACTTGTCCACTCCATGAGTAAGAGTTAAGCAAATATGTCAGTATGAATGTAGAGTGCTCTCCTTAGAAGTATAGCAATTTGTTGCTGGACAAAATTCTAAAATTTAAAATAATATTTGTAAAAATCGTACTTGTCTTAGAATTTTCTGCAGACCTTAACTATGCAAAAGACTTAGGCCATTTTGCACTTGTATTTGCATGCCTAAATGTGGTCTCAAGTGACTTGAGTTCTCGAATGCTGTACTATTGGAGCTCAGGGTCTGGCGTGTTATTTTAGGCTAAGAAAGCTTTTTTTTAATATCGGTATTTTGCTGGAGATATTAAATGTTCACAAATCATGTATGCAGTGCCATCACAGATGACTGAAAGGGCAGTGGAGAGAGACCCATGTAAGTAGGTTTTGGTTTATTTTCAGTGATTCAATTGAACAAACATTATTTTATTGTCTGTTAGCATGCAGGGTGACTGCAAAATGTGACATGAAAGATGTCATGCAGTAAACATGATTTACAGGAGGTGAGCTGGCTATGAAGCAATAGCAAGGGTTAAGAGATGGAGAGCCCAGGTGCTATACCACATCATCAACCCGCATACTGTTATGAGGTCCAGAGAAAGTTATGATGGGTAGAGCCTGTGGAAGAGGATTTTAGAATGAGAGGGGCAAGAATTGCACAAAATGAGGTATGGATGTGTTTTAGTGTCTATGGTTGAGATAATGGATCCATTAATGTTTCTAAGTATTTAAGTTGGTGTGGCCAAACTGCTGATAATGATGAGTGAAGCACGTCTTATTAAATGCAATGATTATTAAAATTGACCTCTTTCTTCTGAGTTACTTAAGTCTAGTCTTGTCAAATAAGACTGAAATTCTTCGTATTCAAAACCAACATTTATCTTAGCAGTGACTTATGTATAGCAAGCCTATCGAGTAGCTGATCTCTGGAAGACTTTGATGTATTCTGTATATACTCACCTAAGACTATTTGGAGTTCAACATGTGTCCACTTTAAAAATTGTTATATTTAAGTTTGACTTTAAATAATGAACTGCAACCATCCCTTGGGTGATTTTAATATTAATTTTCCTGCGTGCCTGGGTTATCTGAACCTTAAGGGCTCATTGAAGTGGGCATAAGAATCCCTGCAGGCCACATACTGACTTAGTTTTAAAATTGTTTTATTGTATTATTTGTTTTGTTAAATATTTCCCAGTTACATTTTAATCTGGCCCAGGAGGCACTTGGGACTGCTGTTGGTCTTGTGTTTGATATCTCTGATGTCGTGCAGCCTTTTCATTTTATAGATTAAGGAACTGAGGCTGAGGCAGGTGGCTTGTCCAAGTATACACAGGTAGTGGCAGAGGAGAGGTCTGATTTCAGGTTTCCTGGTTTCTAGTCTAGTGCTAGCCTGAGGTTGTAGAGCTGTTTGAAACAGTGAGGTTTCTGTTTATTGAGACCCTAGACAGTTACTTTAACTCTGTGCCCCTCCCTTTATGTACCAGGAAGAACCACTTTAACTCTGAGTGGGTGAAAGTGGCATAATTTCTGTGATTCCCCTTAGTCATGGACTAAGAGGCATCTGTCCAGTTAGGATGCACTTGTCATTAAGTAGAAGCCTGACTATTTTTCTTCCCCTTCATGCCCACTAGTTTACAGTGTGTTCTAATTTCTGCTGTCTGTTGAATCCTTTATATTCAATCTCTTCTGCAGGGTAACAAGGATTACCATCTACAGACATGTTGTGGGAGTCCAGCTTATGCAGCCCCTGAACTAATTCAAGGCAAATCCTATATTGGATCAGAGGTATGTATGTATTCTTGTTGCAGTTGTTTTTGTGTTGAAGGTTAATGCACTATCCTGGGTTGGGTTAGCTCAGCTGGCTACAGCAGGATGCCAAGAGGACACAGGCCCTCTATGAGCTACTTAGCTCAGAGCAGAGAGAAGGACTGCTCTATGGCCATGGCCTTGCCATCTGTTTTATAAATGGCTGCCATTAAGTATTTACAGAGGAAGATTGGCCAAGAGTATGTAAACAGATCGTTACCACCACAGGGAGGAAAGTTCAGAATGTTCGTTGTAATGACACTGGGTTATTGTCCTTCCTGTATATGAAGAAACCAGCTTCGTTATTGTGTTGTTGTTTTTTTTAACATGGGAGGGAGATAGTGAAGAGAAAACTTTGGAAGTTCAATGACAAATGTGATATTGTAGCTATTTTACAAGTTGGCCTATTATAGAAGACAGGAGCTAGTAATAATGTAAGCTCTTCCAGTAAACTATAAAGGCCAAGGACTGGTTTGTTTTTTATGTCTTTAGTATCTAAGGGCACATTGACTTTATAAATGGATGTTGAATTGTCATTCATAGATCTGATGGATAATCAATTCCTCTTTTTTCCAGTTTATTTGGATGTGACCTTTTATATCTAGGTCACATGTCCTTTTTGGAGCTTGCCTTGGTATCAGGTGTGAGGTATTGGTCAAAACCTAATTTCTGCCAGACTGTTTTCCAGGTTTCCCAACAGTTTTTATCAGTGGCGAATTCTTATCCCAGTGGTAGTGGTCTTTGTGTTTATCCAACACTAGGCTTTTTTTTAGGCTTATTTTTATGTTTACCTTTTTGTGTTTGTAGATTATACTTAGAGCTAACTTTTTTTTTTTCCTTTTTGGTGGGTCATTCGGGGTTAAGTGACCTGCCCAGGGTCACACAGCTAGTAAGTGTCAAGTGTCTGAGATCAGATTTGAACTCAGCTCCTCCTGACTCCAAGGCCAGAGTAAATTGTTTTTAAAAATCCTCATGTGAATCTGTAGACATTTTTACACTAGATGGATTTAAAGACTGTCTTTTGGCTGGGTCAGTCCATTGTCTTATGTCTGCAGTCACCTTTCCCTGTGATAGCTTTGTTCCAAACACCCCTCCTTGGATGCCACCCTCTTATATATATATTGTTTCCTCCATTAGATTGTAAACTCCTTGAGGGCAGTGATTAGTTTGCTTGCTTGTATTTGTATCCCTTGTGCCTGACATATAGTAAGTGCTTAATAAATGTTTTTTCACTTATTCTTTTGCTTTTAGATACTATTTCCTGAACTTAACATTGTTTAAAAATCTGACTCTTAGACCCTTAAGGCCTCAGTTTCTTCATTTAAAAAATGAGAGATTTGAAATAATCATCTCAGTGATCTTCCAGCTCTAAGTCTAGACTGCCTAATTGCTGCTTTTGCTGAAAAAGAAAATGGCTTTTAGGTTTATATTGTGATTTTCTAGATGATTGCTAATGATTTGTTATAGTATCTCCCCAGGTATTAATTTGAAACTGGTCCTATAATTACTAGGATCATCTCAGATTAACAGTAGTACATATTTAAGCCTTGTTTGATTTTTTAACATGCTTTTGACAGAGTAGAGACTTTATGTCGTCAGAAACCTACAAGATGTAGGAATTTGCTTGAAATTTGTAGTCCCAACTCTATCCTTCCCATTATCCAAACAGTTCAGTGAATAAGAAATTATTTTATGGTACATAAGAAGACTTAGTATTAGTCTAAAATTTGTCTTTAATGCAGTTTGGGTGTTTTCTCCCTTAGGCAGATGTTTGGAGCATGGGAATTCTCTTATATGCACTACTATGTGGATTTCTACCATTTGATGATGATAATGTCATGGCTTTATATAAGAAGATCACTGTAAGTATTATATGGTGAAATTTAAATGAATATTTTGCATTTTAGGCAATTGTTTAACATTGAGTGCAAGTGGAAAGTGGTTTATCACGTAGATTGTGTACACTTTGAGGGATCTGTGATCACATCCACATGGAACAGATGTGATCCTTGTATGCCTTCTCGTCCTCTGTGACTCTTGTCCATATCACTCCGCAAATCTTCAGTAGACATTCCACCAGCATGCCAGGGACCTTCCTTAAGCTTTCTTGTTGCTGTACCAATGGACTGGACAGACTTTCCATCATTTATCCCTTCCTTTCCATACATACTGGCTTAACAATCTCTTTTTTCAATCATATGTCGCTTTAATATTAGCCTTTGTATTACTTGTCTTGTGCCTCTCCATTTTTCTTTTTTCACTGGTTTAAAAATATATTTATATTGATATCTTTTGTTTATATCGCCTAGATTTCCTCCATATCCCTCTTCCTTTTTCCTTCCAAAATACCATTCCTTAGAATGAAGGATTTTTTTTTTAAAAGAAGAGGAAGGAAAAAAAATTCAACAGTCAATCAGTACATTGAAAAAAAATCTGACAACATATGCAGTTGACTCTCCCTTTCCCCACCTCTGTAAAGGATTTGGGAGAGGTGTCTTTTTATGTCTCTTCTTTGGACTTATGCTTATTTGTTGTAATTTTGCAATATTCATTTTCTGTTGTGACTTCAGTTTGTTGTTGTAGTCATTGTGAATATTGTTTTCCTTGCTCTGCTTCACTTTGCATTGGTTCATTTAAGTGTTTCCAGGCTTCTCTATATTTATCACGTTCATTGTTTGTGGTTTTTTTTTGTTGGCTAGGCAGTGGGGTCAAGTGACTTGCCCAGGGTCACACAGCTAGTAAGTGTCAAGTCTCAGAGGCTGTATTTGAACTCGGGTCTTCCTGACTCCAGAGCCAGTGCTCCATCCACTGTGCCACCTAGCTGCCCACGTTCATTTTTTTTAAAAAATAAAACATAGTAACATTTCCTTCCACGAATGCATTACATTTTATTTAGTTGATGAGCATCTACTTTGTGGTTCTTCATTACCACAAAAAGTTATACAGATATTTTGGTGGACACTCCCCATTGCCTTTTGAGCAATTTTTAATTCCTCAGAGATTATGGCATTCTATAACTTCAGTGAATCCATCAATTCCACAAATCAAGGATGTTGATATTGAGAAGATAAAGCCTTTTAAAAATAGGGTACACTTCCTAAATGTAATCCATCTTACTCTCTTTTTCCTATTCAATTCTGGAACTATTTCATTGTCCATCTGCAATGACTGAACAGGATATAGAACGCACACATATATGTGTGTATACATACATGCATATGTATATATTTTTATATTTATATATACATATGTACACACATATATTACACACCCACACCCACAATCATATATCAGCTCTATACATTGTTGATCCAAATGCAGTTCCTAGTTTGGACGGTTGGCATTCTTTACTTATTTGTCGTTTTTTTGTGTGTACAGTTCTAACTCTTGAGTGAAAATGGATCTCATTTAGAAAGTTCCTAGCCTTGATGCCATCAGCACGGTTCCTTCTGCAAGCAGGAGTATCTAGAAGATCCCACCATCTAGAGGAGTTTGATTCAATTTGGACTTTACACTGACCTCCATAATGGTGGCAAATACCTTTGTCAAACATGTTTCTGCTTGCTTTATGGATATTAATTTGGGGATTGCTGAAAACAGTTATCTCTATTACAGTTTTAATGGAATCTTACATGATTTTAATATGTACATAGGAGACGCCTTTTGGAGTGAGAGCCATTAAGATAGCGTTTTGCTCCACAGAATCAAGTGCTTAAAAAAATCAACACAAAATAAGTACAATGGAATCTTGTATATTTTTCACTTTTCAGTCAGATGTGTTACTATAGAAATGCGATATACTTGCTTTTTGGTAGTAAAGAACTCAAAACAAAATGGATGTCCCCCAATTGGGGAATGATTGAGTAAAACATATGGATACGTGAAATAAGAAATGATGAAAGTAAAGAATTTATAGAAACATGGTAAGACTTGTATGAACTGATGTAAAATGAAATAAGCAGAACCAGGAGAATAACATACACATTGACCTCAGTAACATAAAGGAAAAGAACACCAAAAGGAAGCCAAATTCTGAGTAATTGAATTCACCAGTTTTGATCTTGGAGAACAATTGTCATTCCTTTTTTATTGTGGTAAAGTGATGAAAGACTACCTGTGTGTGCAAAATTTTGCTTATATTGTCCGGCATCCTTGTATCTGTTTTTATTTGTAATTTAATTTTTTTACTTATTATTATGAACTTGACAGACTAAAACCTTTCTCCACACAAAGAGCAGGAAAAGAGGATTGTATATGACATCCACATCTCCATCATGCACAACATAATTTATTTTTTATGTTTCAAATGTAACATGGCAGTTCCAATACTTCCCTGCTTGTCCACATTTCCCCCTTAAACATCTCTCTGCTTCCCTCTGTGTATTTTTGCTGATTCACTGGCATTCCTTTCTTTTTCTTTAATATCACTGTTAGTACCTTTCCTCTGCCTCTTCCCATGTAAGCTTCTTCCCAAAGCATCCACCTCCAAGAAAAAATAAAAACCGTAAAAACCTTCCATTGGAAAAAGACCTCTGTATTAGCCATGCAGAGTTCTACTTCATCATCAGACTGTTGGGGTCATAATTACTAATTACATTAATCAGAGTTTTTAAGACTTTGCTCGTTTTCCTCTACAATGTTGTGGTCATTGTGTAAATCATTTTTCTGGTTCTACTCCTTTCATTCTGAATCAGTTCATACAAATACTCCTGGGTTTATCATTTCTTACAGAACACTGGTGTTCCACATGTTTATGTACTATAATTTGGCCATTTCCAAATAATGTGTGCTTGCTTTATTTCCAGAACTTTGCTACAAAAAAAGTGCTACTCTAAATGTTTTTATGAATATGAAATCTTTCTATTTTTCTTTGATCTCTATGGAGTATAAACCAAAGTTGTGGTATTGCTTGTCCAAAGCATAGGCACAATTTAGTGATATTTTGGTTATAGATACAAATTGCTTTCAAGAGGAGTTGGATCACTTCATAGTTCGCAAACTGTGCATTAGTATTTCCTCTGTTTGCTTCTCTAACAATTTTCATTTTTTCCCCCCTCAGTTTTACTAGTTTTATGGGTTTCTGGGGAACTTCAAATGAACCCTTGATGCTATTAGGTAATCCTACTAAACCTCCCTTATCAACTTAGCATCCCACTTAAACTTTTCTAAATCTTTTCATCCTGCCTCAAACCTTCCTTGGCTCCTCCTGCCCTCAGCTGAGAACCTTGCCTGGTGATTCACAGAAACAATTGAGACCATTCATTCACCATGAGCTCCTTTTTTTCTCCCTTTTCTCTACTCTTCCTCACCCCCTATCGCTTAGGTGCTTTCAGGTAGTACATTCACTCTTTCCTTAACCCCATCTCACAAAATGATGTGGCCTTATTCCTTACCAAGGCTAACCTCTCTGCTTGTTCAAGGTACCCAATTCCATCCCATCTCTTCCAGCAGATTGTTCCCTCTGTCATCCCACTCTTACTTATTTTCAGTTTCTCCCTCTCTACTGGCTTATTGCTTGCTCATGTCTCCCTCCTCCTGAAAAAACCCTCACTTGAACTTTTCATCCTCACTACCATCCTATATTTCTTCTGCCCTTTGTAGCTAACCTCCTCAAAAAGGCCATCTATAATAGATGTCTCCACTTTCTCTCCTTTCACTCTCTTCTTAACACCATATGATCTGGCTTCTGACCTCATCATTCCAATGAAATTACTCTCTCCAGAGTTACCATTGATCTCTTAGTTGCTAACTCCGATGTCCTGTTGTCATTCCTCATTCTCCCTCTGTAGCCTTTGATGCTGCTGACCCCCTCTCTTCCTTAATACTCTCTTCTCTGTAGGTTTTTGAGACATCCCTTTCTTCTAGTTCTCCTCTTACTTATCTGACTTCTTCTCTGTCTCCTTTGCTGGATCCTCTTCTAGATCACACCTTCTAATGATAGATGCCCTTCAGAGTTCAGCACTGGGCTCTCTTCTCCGGTTATACCGCTTCACTTGGTGATCATTAGCTCCCATGGATTTAATTACCATCTCTATGCTAATAATTCTCAGATCTGCTTATCTTGTCCAAAACTCTGCTGGCCTCAAATTTTGCTTCTCTGGCTGCCATTCAGACATTTCAAACAGGACGTCCAGTAGACATCTGAAACTCAGCATATCCAAAACAGAACTTATTATCTTTCCCCCTAAGCTTTAATCTGTACTCCCCCCCAACAGACACACACACACACACACACACACACACACACACACACACACACCCCCCTTTCTTCCACTCATCACCTCACACCTAGGCTACTGCAATGGCTGCTGGTAGATTGGCCTGCCTCAAGTCTCTTCCCCACTTCATTCCATCCTCCATTCAGCCACCAAAGTGATTTTCCTAAAACACATGTCCTGCCATGTTACTTCCCTATTCAATGAACTCCAGTGGCTCTCCATTGTCTCCAGGTTCAAATGCACAATACTTTATTTGACATTCAAAGTCTTTCGTAACTTAGTCCATCCTGCATTTTTACGCTTTACTCCCTGCCACGTACTCTTTGATCCAGTGATACTGGTCTCTTGTTTTTTTTTTCCACAAGCAAGACACTCCATCTCTCAGCTCTGGGCATTTTCTCTGGCTGTCCCCCATGCCTAGAATGCTCTCTGTCCTCAACTCCACCTACTGGATTCCCTGGCTTCCATTAAGTCCTGATTAAATCTCATCTTTTACAGGAAGCCTGTTCCAACTCTTAATTCTAGTGCCTTTCCTTTACTAATTATTTCCTATTTTTCCTCTATATGGCTTGCTATGTATATATTTGTGTTATCTCCTCCTTTATATTGTAAGCACCTTGAGGGCAAAGATGGCCTTTTGCTTT